TAATTGTGCAGTCCTGGCAGTTCCTTGGCTGGATTTTGACTGCACTGGAGGAATTTAACAGTATCTTCTTGGCAGTGTGCTTATGAAGATTTGATGTGGCATTTGTAGAGCACCTAACAGAATAGAATTTCAATATGGATGGCTACCTTGAATACTTTTTCTGCACTTCATATGGGGACATTGGACCAGACAAGTCTGTGTACTTTAGGAGGAATGTAACTTCTGGCTGTGAAATGCAAATTTTGTTTGCTGTGATGCAGTTTGTCATAATGTGGAAAGTGTGTGCTGTGTAAGCAGCTCGAACGTGGTACACAGTATTTTTGGAATCTTTGATTGGATTTGAACTTCACATAGACCTGCAAATTCTATTTTGAGTTCACAGACTACATTCATCCTACTTTCCTTACAAGCATACTACAAATGCAGTGTGTGCTGTTACTGGCCCATGGGATCAAGTGCGAAGATAGTTCAGTACAGTTTATAGCTAGCATATGTTTGAGAAAAGACCTCAAACTTTCTTAATGCTGTCTTTGTATGCAAAACTACTATGTTAAGGTGTTGGTAAAGACCCAATGTAAAAACAGGGCTAAGCAACATTTAGAATTGTTTCATTAGCCATGTACAAATAGTGCTGTTTCACAGTAAATTCATTGCTTGTGAGCAGTGAGTACCTGTTTGTGTGTTCACTAAAGGATAGGGATAATTCCTGGACGGTAGAACAACAGGTTTCCTTGCCTTTCCTTTTGATTTCTGAATTGACTGCTGATGCCACTGCAGATTGGTAGATATGGGAAACTGAAGGGTGAGAGATTTTTCTCTACTTGCCAAAAGCTTTGGTTGCCTTGGGCTTCCTGCCCACATCTTCTACCTGAAGATCAGAGAGTTGGGAAGGATTTTCATTTTTATTTTTTTAATTTTATTTTGAAAGTAGTAAAATTGCAACAGAACAAGACAGTAAAGCCAGTTGAGACAATGCATTGAAATTGGTATAGAACTTCAGAGTAGGATACTGGGATGGTAGTAACAGGTACTATATATCTCATTATCTTCGCAGTAGTTGTCCAGTCAATTAGGTATAATGAAATCAAACCAGAAACAACATTATAAAACCAATTGAGAATATTAAATAGAGCAAAAGAAACATACCAAACAGTGAAAACAACCTTTGCCTTCAAACAGAAGATAGAAGGAAATCCCCCATATTTGCTATATTGCATATGGTCATCCTCCCAAGAGATGCTGAGACATCTATCCCTAGTAGTTGGAGACGGGTGTGTGTGTGTGTGTGTGTGTGTTTGATTCTCAGCCAGAGCGGTGGTAGGCTCACGGGAGCTGGAACACTTACCAAGAGGGCTGGTGAATAAGCTGCCTAAGTCCCACCATGGCCGGTAGGAAGGATTTTTAAAAGAAACATTAGGCAAGTGTTCAGCTTGTATCTAGATGTCCCCCAAAGTCTTATGCAGTCATTGATGGGGCTTTTCAGAGGTGGTTAGATTAAGATTTTATGGAGCTGGGATAGAGGGTGCATGATCACTAAATTAGTTCATTGATTGATTCAGCAACATTCTGGGTGTGGATGATAGGAAGGCCCACCCTGGATATGGTTGGCACCACCTAAAATGCAGTTAGCCTGGAAAAATAAAAGGGAGAGGTAGCAGTAGCTGCTGCTGCTACTTCTGCTGCTTCACTCTTTGCTGCCTTCTGCCTGCCCTGCTTTGCCTGTTTCTTCTCTTTGATGCTCATCTGCCATGCCACTCTGCCTTGGTACCTGTCAACTGTGGACTGAAACCTCTACAAACTGAGCCAAATAAAACTTCCCACCTTTAACTTTGGATGTTGGGTATTTTGTCTGAGCAATGAGAAAAGTGACTTGATACACTATGTGTCTTATTTAATAACCTAGATGTTCCTGTTGTGTTGACATATTATAATTGGCTCAGATTTCCTATTCAGGGTTAGTAAGTGCTAGCTGGTTGGTGAAAAGATTGTTTGGGATGCTGATTGGCTGGGGAAGAGATCACCATGGTTTATGATCAGTTGGAATTCAGTAGTCTTCACTTTCTCTGGCCTTATTTACTTGGGTTAGCTGTAGTCCAAAATGTTAACAGGAAGATTACTAAAGTAAGGAATTCAGAAGTTTTAAACTGCATCCTCTTCTAAGTAGTGTAATGAAGTCTTGAGCTTTCCCATGCCATCCTCAAGTTGTGAGTTGTCTCTCTGGTGTACCACACAGTAGATGCACCCTCCATTATCGGGTCAGTCATCTAGGTATATGGTGCTTATGTTCAGTGACCTCAGGTTCACAGCCACACATTCAGATGCCTTTCCCTGTCTCATCTGGGGTTGTGCAACTTCAGCACCACAAGAAGTGTACATTCAGTGCAGTAAGATTTTTTTTCTTTTTAAAATATTGTTATTACAGTTTAGATATACATAATGATCACATTCATCATAAGGAATCTGTATCTGTACATATGTCTGGCTGCTGCTTTTTTCCCATTCCTCTCCCCTGCCTTCAACCCCTCATCCTCTACTTATTTACAAAAGCTTTGTTCCTATTTTTTTCTTCTATTCTCTCTTTTTGTCCCTTCTTTCCTTTCCTTTCCCTCCTTGTTCCCCTTCTCATTGAAATATTTTCTTCCCATTTCCCAATATCTTAAATAAATGTATATTTTGGTCCTTATTTACATTTTCAGTTTCTCATACTAGAGAACAATTCAGTTTTTAAACATGTGAGCATGATTTATGTAACTTAAAGAGTATGGTCTCAAGGTATATCCATTTACCTAGAAATGTCTCAACCTTATCCAAAATGAACTGCATCTTCTGTATGCATTCATCGGCTGATAGGCATTTGAGCTGTTTGCAGAATGTAGCTCTTACAAACTGCCACAATATACTTGAGTGTCATATATTGCTGTGGTATGATGCTTTTAATTCTCTTGGGAACATACCAAAAAGGGAAACAACTGGGTTGAATAGAACTCTAGTTTTAGTTTTTTAAAGAATCTCCACTCTCAGTTCCGCAGTGGTTGCATCAGTCTACACTCTTACCAGTGCAGTAAAATATTTGACACAACACATTCACATAACTTATTTTATAGTATATTATGATGATTCAGTTTTTATAACTGTTATTCTCTTACTATTCCTATTTATAATTTGAGTGATATCATAGATATTTAGGTACGCATTGTTGCCCTCTGACTGATGTGTTTTGAAATTTTGTTGTAGTTTTTTTTTTCTTTTTATCCTTGAAACAGAATGGATTTGGGGGGGAACCCTACCAAGATATTTAGGTACATTATAGGAAAAAACTACATCTAGGGTTCATTTGGAACTATACTTGGTTTCAAGCATCCACTGGGAATTTTGGCAGAGATCCCCTGCAGATAGTTGGGGCAATCAGAGAGTATTCAGGTTGGTTCACTCAGTCATTGTTCTGTATTTCAATAGTACATGTGTGGGGGCTGGGGATTTAGCTCAGCAGCATAAGTGCCTGCCTTGCAAGCAGGCAGTCGTGAGTTCGATCCCTGGTACCGAAAAAGACAAAAAATATATATATATAATAGTACATGTGTGTCAGCTGCTTAGGATCTTGATGTCACAAGTACTGTTAGGCAGGGCTGTTTAAAGTTATGGTTCCAGGAATTATATTCAGAATTATTTAAAGGTTTTTGTAGACTACTTACTATGTTTTGAAGTGCTACATGACATAAAGCAAAAGTATACATCGTGTTCTTTATGTTTCAGTTTAACATATTTCAAAGGGAAATATGTTCCGCTGGAAAGGAATTGAATTGTCTTCAGTGTGACTGTGACAGTGAGGGCAGGTGTTCTGCACTGGGATTATAAACTGCTTCTTCAAGAAGGGCTCGTGTCTCCCTCACTTCTGAGACCCCATGCCTGGATCATCACCTGGTGTAAGGAACCTCAGCCACTGGGTATTTGCCGAATGAACAAATAGCACTAGGTCCACATGAAGGATAATGTTGGGAGAAAATGACATTAAAATAAATAAACCAAAAATACTTTATTTTCCTTGATAATTTGCTGATTTTTCCTTGATTACATACCAGCATGTTTCTTTGTAAAACTGGAATCCTTAAATAGGTTAAAAAATCTTAAAATTGAATAAACAAACCATTGGTATTCCTTTCATCATATATGTACCTCAGCAAGTGCCAGCTTTCTGCTACCAATGTACTGTGTAGGTACCTCATTGGATAATTATAGATATGTATGTAAGCATGCATACCTGTGTGTGTTGATTTAAAAGTGTGTTGATTTCAAGTTGGCCTTGAACTTACTGTGTAGCTCAGGGTGGCTTCAAAACTTGTAGTGACCCTCCTGCCTCAGCTTCCTGAGTGCTGGGTTTATAGGTGTGTGCTACCATGTTAGGATGTTTTGTCTTGGAAAGATTTCACTGAAACTTGCTAACTGTAACAATATAAAAACTTGTTAACTATAACTATTAAAAGATCTTAATCAGGATATGATTTTACTTTAACTTTTTTTCTCACTGCTCAGTAAAAAAAATCACTACCTTGGAAAAGGAAATTGTAAACATTTGAGAATAAGCTACTTAAATGATAACCTACTGTAGCTTTTCTTAAAATACCACCTTGAGTGTGGTAAAGAATTGGAATAGCAATGCGCGTGAGGACAAAAGGAGGGCGTTGCTGTGCTTTGCTACTGAATGTGATGGCCTGGCAGCGTGGTCTCCATGGTGAATGAACAGTCCTCTAGTTGCTCAGCCCCTTGTGGCACAGAGAGAGGAATGCGTGAGGACATGTGTATCGTGTTATGTCTGCTCCCAGTTTGACTAGCACGGTCTGGAAGTGGGCTGTGCAGGCCGAGGGGCGCGGCCTGCTGGCTCTCCAGCCGCCGCAGCCGCAGCAGCTGCCGCAGCAGCGACAGGGCGACGCGGTGGGTCGTCCGGGTGCGCGCCTGGTCACGTGGCCCGGCGCGCACAGCCCATTAGTCAGCCATCTTGGTCACCGCCCTGCTGGCTGCGCGCGGCGGTCTTGTGGGAGGGAACCCGGCGTCCTGGCTCGCCTGCAGATCTGGAAGCGATTGCTGTAGTTCGCATCTTTTTCAGGCTACACTGGAAATATAGGTTTATTTTTTATTCTTTTTTCCCTTTGGTGTTTTTTCTGCACAAAGAAGAGATTTTTTTCACTTGTTCATGCCGAAGCCAGTTTTTAAAAGCCAGCTAAAACAGCAATGAGCGTGCAGGATTGACAGTTTCGCCGAGGGCCAGGGCAGGGCAGGGCAGGCCAGGCCGAGGGAAGGACCGGCGGAGGACCGTCAGCATCTTGTGTTGTGTGTGGCATCAGCGAGCAGAGCGTGTGGAATTGAGTCTCTGGAGCGCTCGTTTCCATAGACGTTTTTCCTGGCTGTGTTTTTAAACCTCCCCACCTCTTTTGGAGGCTTTGTTTCCGAGCTTCCGATCGGGGGGCTTTCGTGTGTGTGTGTTTGTGTGTGTGTGTGTGCGCGCGTGTGTTGTGGTCCCAGCTGAGTCATCATGTCCGCTCTGACGCCTCCGACCGATGCGCCAACCCCCACCACTGACAAGATCACACAGGCTGCCATGGAGACGATCTACCTTTGCAAATTCCGCGTGTCCATGGATGGGGAGTGGCTCTGCCTGCGCGAGCTGGACGACATCTCACTCACGCCTGACCCAGAGCCGACCCACGAAGGTATGGTCAGGTCCGGGTGGCCAGTGCCTCGGCAGCACCCTTCTTGCTGGGGGTGGGAAGCAAGTGAGGGAGCGGCCTGAAGGGTGTGCATGGCGAGCTGAATTGTTCCAGACCCCAAGCCCCTGGCCCTTCCTACCCGCACACCCACCGCCCGCTGGCTCACAGGCAGGCTCCTAGAGAAGGAAGGCCTGCCTGTTCAGAGTTCTTTGTCTCCAGGCTTCCAAAGGGAAATTCTGAGGTCACATCACATCTGATCCTATGGATCATGAACAGCTATTAATGTGGTTTGTTAAACATGACTGTAAGTCGAAGACAGTACGTGGTAAATACAACAGAAATACCAGAAGGCTGTCTTATCAGGATATATTGATTAAAAGCTGTTGAGTATTTTTTCTTTTACCAAGAAAATACTTGATAGAATATTATCTTTTAATATAGGTTAAATGAGAAAGCACTTTTATATTCAACATTTTCAAATGAGCTTTATTTTTAATACATCTTGTCATGAAAAATTAAACATTAATATATGGTAATTCCTATACATGGACTCTATGGGGCTCTTTATAAGTTATCTGTGCTCATTATTATGACTCATTTACAGCTTCCGCTGTCAATTTCCTCGAAATCTTTGTGATATTACTTTCTCCCAGAACTTTCCCTAAATTGTACAGGGGTTTTTAGCTTATACTTGTAATTCTCAATGCCACGCTGCAAGTGGTTTTGTTTTTAATACAGTGGTTTTCTCACCTTACGTTTGTTTTCTGCCCTTAAAATAGTAAACATGAGAATGCTTGCTTGTTGGGAGAAATTCTTTATGAATATCTGGCAGTTAGGCACATCAGGTAGACAGAGAAGGCCATGAGGTAATCACACACCTCTGTACAGTTAGGAGAGGGATTCCCACCCTTACCCTGAGGTTCCAGGCTTATGAGGACTCAGACTCCACCCATCATGTGTGGTGAGGATTTTATCTTTCCACTCCAGTGTAGCCTTGAAATTTTAGACAAGGGTTAACATCACAGAGCATGGGCACACACACACACAATGTTTAAGTAGTTTGTGAGACCTTTTGCACATCTTCTGACAGTAGGCTTGTCTGTTGAACAGCTTCCTTCAGCTGTTTTAGAACATGCACAAGGGTTGTCAACCGAAATCTCATTCAATGACAGTACTGTTTAAATCGTCTCCAAAGCTTTAAAAATCTTTAGGGAAGTAAAATACATTTTTAAAAGGTTACCAATTAGGGGCTGGGGATTTAGCTCAGCGGCATAAGCGCCTGCCTTGCAAGCAGGCAGTTGTGAGTTGGGTCCCTGGTACCAAGGAAAAAGACAAAAAAAAAAAAAAAAAAAAAGGTTACCAATTGCAGGGAGAGCGTAGTGGCTCACACCCACAATCCTAGCACTTGGGAGGCTGAAGCAGGAGGATCACAAACTACAGAGTAAAACCCTGTCTTCAAAAGATACTAAAAAAAAAAAAAAATACTGCCAATTTAAAAAGCTTTGCTTAATTTGTATATTTTATTTGGAAAAAAACCCAGTCCATTTTGAAAGTTGTGCAATATCATATATCCCCTTAATTGTAAAATCTTGTGTCTCAGTGTCTCAAAAATAAATTTTTAAAACAATTTTAATACTTTGAAAATACGTTTGTCCTTAGGGAAAACATAAGTGGCCTGTTTGGTTCTTTTAGACATTTGTAGTAGTGCTGTTTGAATTCTTCATTAACAAATGTTGCCACAGGTATAGATACAATAAAATAGAAAATACATGAAAGCTACAAACAAACTGTAAATGGCATATCCTTTGATTAAGGAATATAGGCAAATAAGAATTTGCCAAGTCCAATACCTCAGTCAACTAGAGAGGATATGGAAGAAAATAAGAGAAATGCTGGTAGTGAATTCAGGGATTTTGCTTTTAGGCAAAAGAAGCCAGTGTTTTTTTTGTTCGGTTAGTTTTTTTTGATACAGAAATTGAATTGACAACCTTGTGCTTGCGAGGTAGATGCTTATGCCACTGAACTATGTCCCCAGCCAAAGAACCATTAGAGATGAAAATAATAGAGGGCCATGAAAGTATTTGTAGGGCCTGGGCATTTAGCTCAGCGGCATAAGCGCCTTCCTTGCAAGTGTGCGGTCGTGAGTTCGATCACTGGTACCGATAAAAACGAAAAAGACCAAAAAAGAAAGTGTTTGTAAATATAATGTCCTAGGAGACCAAGTGGTGCTTTAATGAACATTTTGTTTCTTTACTGAGTATCTTAAACATTCGTTTAGATCCAAGGAAAACTGTTTCAATATTTGTTTGATTTTGGTTCCTTGAGATAGGATCTTCACTATATAATGCAGGCTGGCCTTACTTTGCAGTGATCCCCCTACGTCAGCCTCTCAAGTGCTCTCATTACAGGTGTGCACCACACACCTGGCTGTTAATTGTACAGCTCTCAGGCTTATACTACTTGGCCATGACTGATTGAGTTTCTTCTTAACTCAGATACTCCATTCACCATATCAGAAGTACAGGGGCTTTTGCATGCACAGAAGCGGGGAAAGAAATACAGTAAGTCAAAAAGACAAGAAAACTCCCTTGCAGTCTCACACCCCCTTTGCCATTCTCTGCTCCTAGTTCTGCATGCGGATTTTAGGGCCAACACAGCGTTACTTTTCTGTGCGTTATCTGAGCTCAGGAGAGGTGGGAGCCGCTTAATGTCTGCCCAGGAAGTGGAGAAGTAGGTAGTCTCGGGAAGGGAAAAGTTCTCATTTTAAAGCTCTGTTTGACCCTTTAGTTACTTGCTACGCATGGGTGATGATGGAGGATTGGAGTGTTGGAGTGAGGCCAAAGCATTCACGTGGTGGACAGGCTCACTCACCTTCCTGAACCAGCAGAACTGATGCCTAAACCACAGGGGCTGTGGACCCGCTTCTTGGCCAATTCTCAGGAGAAAAGATTCCTCCCCCCAGGGCCTGTGCTGGGCCCCCGACTGCCACTGAAGAAAGTGGGCATTGAATTCCACTTGAGGGAGGTGGTTCAGCACAGAGGCCTGTGGTTCCCAAGTTGTGCTGTGTGATGCAGCACTATACAGTTGCTGTGGGCCACAGCACAGCACAGCCCAGCCTGGCCTGGGAGCCCACACACTAGGCCCTCTCAGTGTGCCATCCATAGTTTATGAGGTGATTCCTCTCTCTTTGTGACGTTCTCTTTTTTAAAGCAGAGCAACCCTGAAGCAGCACTGATTGCAGGTAGATTTCTGTCAAGAGCCAAGGATAGACCAGGACAGATGGGGCCTTCTAGGGGAGATTTGTGCACCTGACAGATGAAGAGTGATCCTTAGATAGGAGTGAGGCAGGCAGTTGAGACCCCTGGGCAACAACGGGGAAGGGAGGCCGAGAGATGAGCAGGGGCCAGATGAGGAGCTTTTGGGACTTTTGGGGCAAGTGACATGAGGTGAAGTTTGCATGTGAAATGATCACTCTAGCAGTACAGCAGATGGTCAGAAGGATATTCCAGAGACCCCAACCATGACTGGTAAACCGGTCACAAAAAGAGAGGACCATCCCAAAACTAAAGCACTGAGCTTGGCCGTGCCAGGGAAGGAGCAGTTGCAGGAAAGTAGAATGGATTTGGAGCCGACTCGGCAAGATGAAGGGGTCAGGCTTTAGATTTCAGTTCCTGAGTCCCCCTCACCAGTAGGGAATGCTGAAGAAAGAAAAAGTTTTAATCTCTGATTCTAATAGACTGGAGCACCCCGTCTATCAATTTAGCCTTCTGTCCATACCCACATGAGTATAGAGCAGGCTTAGCCTCTTCAAGGTAACTTCCTGAAGGAGATGGACCTCCCACTGTGCGAGGTCAGAACTGGGGAGGGGAAGAAGAGTGAGATGAAAAGGGACATCCAGATTCAAAGGATGATTCACACTGTCCTTTGGATCTATCAGCACTGGAAGAACAGGTAGGTTTCTATAAAACTTTGCTTTTTTTTTTTTTTTAAAATTAAAACACACCAGAGCTAGTTATGGTGGTGCATGCCAGACATTGCAGTGCTTGCAATGCTGAGACATCATGAGATCATAAGTTTGAGGCCAACCTGGGCTAAATAGTGAATTCAGTGACAGGTCTGACAGGTCTCAAAGTGTCTCACAGTGAAACCCTGAGGTGGGTGACTCCACCATTGTATTGACTTGCTGAGAAATTCTTTTGAGTTTTTTTGTTTGTTTGTTTTTGAAGTTACAGTGAATCTCAAAGGAAAGGAACTTCCAAAGCACTATGGAAGATATAGAGACCATGTGCCCTTTGTTTTTCACAAGGCTGGAAGGAAAACATGTGCTAGATCCTTAAGTAGTTATTACAGTAATATTAGAAATTATACTATTACTGAGATGCTCATCTGCCTCTGGATTACTTAGAGTAGCATACTCAAAACAAGTTGTTTTTTTTTTTTTTTTTGTCTTTTTCGTTTTTATCAGTACCAGGGATCGAACTCACGACCGCCTGCTTGCAGGGCAGGCGCTTATGCCGCTGAGCTAAATCTCCAGCCCCAAAACAAGTATGTTTAACCCCAAATCAGGAAAATAATAAAAGCTTTTCCCAGAATCTCCTAATAAATGTGTATGTATAGGATGGGCCAAGTTTAACATCATCTTCCTATTATCAAATGTTTAAAAGCAAACTCAGTTTATAATAAACTTAACCTGTAACAGTGGTGGCAAACCTAAGGCATGCATTGTACTGTTTTTAAGACAAAAGATGTTAATGTATGTGTTTTTTTCAAAACTAACACTTCAGTATTCAGGTTCAGTGGCAGTGTTGGCACTTTACAATAATAAGTGGCTTTTGTATTACAGTTTGGGCATTCTGTCTCTTAAAATTTTGCCATCACTGCCTTCGATAAAGTACCTAATTAATAATTTATATGAAGAAAAATCTTTTGATATCTTAAAGAGAATCTTTTTTTGTGGGGGAGATGTTTTTGAGACAGAGTCTTACCATGTATTCCAGACTGAT